GTATGGAGCAGAGACTTGGACACTCAGGAAGAAGGAACAGAAATACCTGGAGAGCTTCGAAATGTGGTGTTGGAGAAGAATAGAGAAGATCAGGTGGACGGATCGAGTGACCAACGAAGAAGTATTGAGGAGAGTCAACGAGCAAAGAAACATTCTGCAGGCGATTACACGAAGGAAAGCTAACTGGCTGGGACATATTATGAGATGGAATGGATTACTGGGTGATATCACAGAAGGACAGGTTGAAGGAAAGCAAGGACTGGGAAGAAGACTGATACAGCTAACCGACGATCTTAAACAAGGAAAGAAGATGGAGCTCTTTTTGGGCAGAGCAATGGACCTGTCGTAAGACAGAACACTGAATAATAATAATAATATTAGATGTTGCTTATTTTAAATCGTATGTATGAACTGTGGCCATCACGGTTCCATAAAAATTGTGATGTGATGCGATATTTTCGCTGCCTGACTTCAAATCAGAATGTCATAATTAATTGAAAGCTGTAGTAATTTTTATGCTACATCATTTTTCACATCATAGTTTTTTAATGACCGTCAATAAGTACACATAATAACGCCCTGGCAAGACTCGTACTCCCCACAATTAACCCCTGGAAGAAACAGCCATCGCTAGCATCTGTGCTCCAGTGTGGAAAGTTATAAATGCTTGCTGTGCCATGCACATCACTGGCAGTGCTTGATGACGGTTAGTTATCTGTGGTGTGCAGGGAAGGGATGGTTTTACGGTTAAAGTTTTGCAACACCGTGTATCACATTGGTGGGAAGACGTTATAGCTATCGAATGTTTCTGAATTATTCGAAGTAATTTATAACAATGGAAATATTTTATAGTGCTCATGATAAAGAGACCAATGAGTTCTGGTAATAAAATGTGATGTAAGCCATAGTTCTTAAAATGGCCTAATTGCTGATCAGCAGATTGGTTACGTAAATCACAGGTTAAACTTCAGGAATGACCACAGTACAGATGCTGCAGTATCTTTCCAGAGCAGTTCAACTGGATAATCTCAACAATCTGCTAGTTTGCGTGGATATACTAGCAGTTCAGTGGTTGTATTTGTGGTAGTCGTGCTGTTGGTTTCATTAATTTGGTTGTGCCCATGCAGTAAAGGACTGCAGTTTTTACGTTAAAATAATTAGAGAAGCTGTACCTTTTACATATGACCGAACCTTTACGCCAGCATGGCTGACAGAAAGCAGACGAAAGATGTCTTTGCCGTCTTATTTTTTTGTTTATTGTGGTATGTCGTTAGTTCCAGTAACAATGTTATTGGGAAGATGTTACTGAATGATTTTCCATATCCAATGACAGTGACTATGGTTCAATTAACATCCATCACATTATATTCTGGTCCATTTTTCAATATGTGGGGCGTGAGAAAATTTGTTGACATTAGTTGGGGTTATTATATGAAAGTGATTGTACCTCTTGCACTAGGTAAATTTCTTGCTTCTGTATCTTCGCATGTTAGTATTTGGAAAGTACCAGTTTCGTATGCTCATACAGGTAAGTGTAATTCATATAGTAAAAATTAAATGTTATGAATTCTTGTATATGCATCTTACATAGTTTATCTTTAATCTAGGGAGACTTTTAACATGCGCATTTTCAAGAAATATTTAAAAGAGGAAAAAAATTAACGATAACAAAATAAGGAATTTATATATGTGGATTATGATAGCTCTTGTCACATTGTCTGCAATTGGATGTGAAAGGGGACTGGCATGTGCATAATAAACACGCACACTTTATATAAATATGTATTTATTTGTTTTTTTTATTTTAGTGAAAGCTACGATGCCACTTTTTACTGTAGTTCTGTCAAGAATAATTCTGAGGGAAAAACAAACACTAACAGTAAGTACCAGTTATGTTCAATTAGAATTTTTCTTAATGTTGATATATACATGTCTTAATATTTTAACAATTTTTTCAGGTGTATTTATCTCTTATACCAATAATTACAGGAGTAGCGATTGCAACAGTGACAGAAATCTCCTTTGATTTGATTGGATTAATTAGTGCATTGATTGCAACTATGGGGTTTTCACTTCAGAATATATTCTCAAAAAAGGTCAGTCCTATTGAATATGAAATGTTAAAACATGAAATTCCATCAGTGATTAGTTACATATAAAATATTAAAAAAAATTATTGTACTGTTTGCAGGTGCTACATGATACAGGGATTCATCATCTTCGTTTGCTACACATTTTGGGTCGCTTAGCACTAATCATGTTTCTTCCTGTGTGGCTTGTAGTAGATCTACAAAATGTTATTCAACATCCAACGTTGGTATGTATGTGTGTGTGTACTGAACTTTACAGTATAATGACTACATGTACCTTCCTCTGAAGTTGAAGTTTATTTTAAGTTAGTCAGGGCTGTGGAGTCAGAGTCAATAAAAATGTACTGACTCCGATATAAGATCTTAAGAAAATACCATTATAACACTTTCGCTACTGTGCAGCCTCGCAGTTAGGGAGATTCAATGACGTGTTGAGCCACATGGTGTGGGAATAATGCCTTGTAACTTTGGCTCTGGTACCTTAAGAATACAAACTGTCTACAAATCAACCGATTTCTGCAATAACCATTAGACGTTTATTAAAATATAGGTTATAAGTCTAAAAAGTAGCCAGATGATTCATGTGGTGGTGATGAAATCTCTTATGGTACCATTTACCATTTTAGTAGGTAGTAGACATTACAGTAACCATTTGATATTTATTTACTATATGGTGACCATTGGCCTTAAATAAAACCCATATCACTGACAGGTTTTGGGTAGGTAACAATTATTTGTCAAATTAGTAACTGTTAAACCTCAAATTCAGTGACATGTCTTCATCATCATGATTAGATTCCGTGGATCCCAGATCAAAATGTGGAACAAGTCTATATATAAAACCAAATACAGCACGCCCCTCTTTGCATCATCATATTTTGTTCACTGACGAGACACACATTACTCATGATGAAGTTAATAATACCAGAAACTCCCATTCTCATTTATGAGCCCATAACAGTCCGTGTGGAACAGTATAAAGTATATTCTGATATTATTTTTCTGTGAGCGTGTGAAGATGTGATCATGTGTCATCAGTGACATGTACGATGGATTTTTACAAACTGAACTGCAAGCCCTCTTATAGCATGCTCCTCTACAAAATACCGCTGGAGATATACTACCAGCATGAAGGGGAATCCCCACATTTCAGTACAAATATCATAAAGTATCTGATTGATTATTGGATTGGCTGTAGCAATATGCAGAATTGATCACTACAGTTACCAGATCTCACCCTGCTAAATTACCATGTGTGGTTTATGAACCCAAAGTTAGACACAAAAGAACTACTTCATTGAATTCTCGGTGCTATAAGACATGTTAATAATGCTGCAGTTCTCTGTACAGTTATACATTTTTTTAGTCAAATCAGAATTTGCAGCCAAGGTGTTGGTGGCCATTTTGAAGTTACTGGCTACATAAACCGTATAATGTAATCTTTTTTCCTAGTTTGTTTATTATTATTTAGTGTTCTGTCTTACGACAGGTCCATTGCTCTGCCCAAAAAGAGCTCTCCAGTTTTCCCTATTCTCGGCTTCTCGTTTTAATTCCTGGAACGTCATCTTCTTTCCTTGTTTAAGATCGTCGGTTAGCTGTATCAATCTTCTTCCTAGTCCTCTCTTTCCTTCAACCTGGCCTTCGGTGATATCACTCAGTAATCCATTCCTTCTCATAATATGTCCCAGCCAGTTAGCTTTTCTTCGTGTAATCGCCTGCAGAATGTTTCTTTGCTGTAGTTTGTTTATTAAATACAATATAATTTTTGTTCCATTTTTTTGTCACTGTATGAGACTGTATAATTACATATTTTTTCCATAAATAACTTGTTCAAAGTGCAGTTGCATTTCATTGCTGTTAAGAATCAGGCCCATGTTTGTATGACTTCCGACCGGGAATGAGATCTTGAAGTATTTACATAAAGTCACTGGACATTGTGTATAATGCCATATTATAATATGGTCTTGGATGATGCACACTGAAATTAATAGTGTCTCATTGTAGTTCTGAAGAATGTACGATTGAGTACAGCAGAATGCGTAATATTCCAGTGTCTTGTGTTTATTAACTGGGTTATTTTCAAAGTGAACTTATCTTAAAAGAAATTTTGTTAAAGCAGAAGGACCTGTAATCTTCATTCTACATTCGTGATAAAAGGAGGTTTCATTGCCCATGTGTAATGCATTTTAAATTGGAGCTCTTTTTAACATTTAGTGTAATATGCAATAGTGTCATATGTGATGTTTGTTCGCAGGTATCTGGTGAAGACTATCGTATATTGGCTCTCCTGTTTCTTGATGGCGTTCTCAATTGGCTGCAAAATATTGTGGCTTTCAGTGTCCTATCTCTGGTAACACCACTCACATATGCAGTTGCTAGTGCATCAAAACGAATATTTGTTATCGCTGTTTCATTATTTATGTTGGGGAATCCAGTTACAGGAGCAAACATCTTTGGGATGGCATTAGCAATATTTGGAGTTCTCTTCTACAACAAGGTATGTGATGGAAATACAGTTTTATAGTCTTAAGATGATATTTTTATATGTGTTCATTTGTTCTAGTAACTATACGACTAATGTGTTTGGAGTAGAAAGAGTAGGAAATTAATATGAAATGTTTAACTGTTATTATCCCATTTCAATCACGAATTATAAAAGAAATGATAAGTTACAAATAGTTCTACCCATTACACACAGAAGAAAACTTATCACTTATTTGTAAACAACATAAATTCATTGACAGAGTAAAAGGAGAGTGTAATTAAGTATCTTGAAGGTTTCTGCTGTATCATTTCCTTATATTTTTATTTTGTGACAGGCAAAGTACGATGCTCGGCAGTCTCTAAAGCAGCAGGTTGTGCTGCCCTTTTCGCAGTCGTCGTGGCAGAACAAGACTGGTTATGTTATGTACCCAAGTTCTACACAGCACAGTATCATTGAGAAGAAAAGTCCGTACCCCACTTCCAACGGATTCTTAAATGGCGCCAGCCACACCATTAATAACATTACTAGTTTTGGTAATAATAAGAGTAAAAGTAACAAAACTGGAAGCTTATTGTTTGTATGATATAACAAGCTGATTTTGGAATAAGAATGAATTACTTGTATTTTATTGAATTGTGGGGTCATACAAGCATAAGGAAATCTCTTTTAGTGTGTTCTTAAGAAACCCAGTTTATTACCAAATGCCGGAAGAATTATTTACAAATTGGCCCAGATGTTTATGCATACACAAGAACTGTTGGTATAATACCTCAAAACAAAAAAGAAGAAGAAAAGTAATGTTGCATGTGCACCTGAGCACATACAAGAACTGTTGGTATAATACCTCAAAAGAAAAAAGAAGAAGAAAAGCAATGTTGCATGTGCATCTGAGCACATCAACATGGCATGTGGAGTCAAGTGGTGACCCTCACACTCCTAAATACAGAAAATTCATGTTCAGAAGCTAGGTGTATTTAAACAAACAAATACTGTAGTGTATAACAGCCATTCTAAACAGGTCCCATTAAACTGAATAAGTATCATGTCTCAGTGACCTTATAACTTCCTTGACTGGACAGTCATGTCCATATTTTGACTGCTTTGTATTCATGTCTTCCAAATCACACCACTTGACATGAATTAAAGAAAATGCGGTAGATTTTTTAATTTATTATTCATGGAGGTTTATTCTCTTTTCTCTTTTGTAGTCTTTTGTATCAGTAAGTTTTCCACATTTTATTTATATCTTTCATTGTAATGAAAGTATCATTTCTACTTTCCAGAATATAAATATGCTTCTTAACATTTTACCATTTATAGAGTTTCCAGACGAGTGTATAGGAACGTTATAGTTTGTTCTTGATGCACTCCAAATCGATGATCATATAAAATTGATTACAAAATTTGTTGTGTATGTATGGTGTTCAGGAGTTTAAGTGTATTCATTACCGGATTGAAATTTTGACGTGGAAGGTACACCAATGTCATGGAGTTCACAACAGTTCCACCTTAACGTGGACATTTCCTTCCCAGTGGAATGGATTAAATACTTTGGAAATATCAAATGATAAAGAATAAAGACTTGAAGAACAGGGACACATTAGAGGTGGGAGAAATTTTTATGTATGTCACATATTCTCTGAAATATACTTGCACATAACTGAAAGTGGTGTAGGTCTTCGTGTAAATTGTCCATTATTCTTATCTGTTTTAGCCAAAAATGGATTGTGTCAACAAATTTGAGTTGAACTCTGCAATATCAGATTGCACAAAATTCTGCTCGATGGTTCTCGAGTTGTGTATGACAGTTGAACAGACAGACATAGCAAAACTAACGCACATTTTTGCAGTTTTGTTGCAAATGTGCATGAAACAGTTTTTAACTGTGTTCTGACCTAAATATGCATAGACAAAAATTACAAATGGTGCAGATCATTACAAAAGAACCATGCTTTCACATCCCCGAGGAGTGTCTATCAAACTTTATTTTCAAAACAGAATTTCCCTCAAATCCAAAATTATTATTTCGTATTGTTGAACAAACCGCCATGGTGGTCTAGTGGTTAGAACGCTGGCCTTGTAATCCTGGGGTCTCGGGTTCGATTCCCGGCGGTGCCCGAATTTATAACTTGTTTGGGCAAGGCCGTGGTCTAGGCAACACGGAGTTTTCCTCCGGGAGCTTCCCCAGTTTCTCCGTGGCATCCCAACAATTACTCCATTCACACACAGAAGAAGGCAATGGCAAACCACTTCTGGATCTGAACAGGTCCCAGTCCGAGAAAAGAATGGAAGGATCCTGTTCATATGGACCTGTCGTCAGACAGAACACTAAATAAATAATATTGTTGAACAATCCCTTACATGCGACACACTGGCCAAATGAAATAAATACTGCTTCATAGTTGAGTATGTTCACTTAATTTTTAAGAAATTTGAAGGGAGCCGTGTGTTGTTGCTGATGGAGTGTCTTCTTTACATGTACTAGGCTGCAATTGTGTTCACAAATATAATTGCATGATATTTCCCTGCTGCTGATTATATTGCCAGTGTCAATACATAAAAATGCACCTGGTATCATCATGAGTCTAGCAGAAGGACCTTTCACTCTTTTTCTCATTGTATGTAGAATAGCATACGGAACAGAATTTGTATAATTTTCAAGTGTTGTCCACTGGAGTATTAAATTAAAGTTTTTGTAAGACTTTAGTTCTTATTGTGAGTTTACACTTTCAGATACTATAGATCTGAGCATGATGTAGGCAATCGATCATCTCTAGCTATCATATCTCATTATACATTGATGTTTTATATATGGGAGTTTTAAATATTATACTCTGATAAAAACTTTTCTAAAGACTTATGGTGCACCAGCAACATAAGTGCTGTTTCATTTGAATTATGTCTGTACATAGCGATGAACCAGCGTAGCTCAGTCAGTATAGTGACTGGCTATGGACTGGATCGACTGGGGTTCGATCCCCGACGAGGGCAGATTTTCCTGTAGCTTCTGCTTTCAGACTAGCTCTGGGGCCCACCCAGTCTCCTATCTGATGGGTACCGGGGTCCTTTCCCGGGGGTAAAGTGCGATGGGCGTGATGCTGACCACTCACCCCCACCTAGTTCCGAGATTAAGAATGAGTAGGACTACCACACCCCCCAAGTGCCTACATGGCGTATAGTGGGACAGCTTTACTTTCACCTTTACTGTATGTAGACAGTAAACAGTATTTATGTAAATATACATTTTCTTTAAAATTATGTAAAGCAGGGAATCTCAAACTGAGGGACATGACTCCATTTATTTAAAATAGTCAGTTAGTGCAGTTATGTGAGATTTCAGGTTCTCATGGCAGTAAGTTTGAAGATGACTGCTGGGATGTTGCACTGTGTTATGTGGTAAACTACCAGACCTCGTGGCACACTGACACAGAAGGCAACGGACTTCATGCTTGCTGCCATGAGAACCTCAGATCTCACTAAGATTTATTTAAATAACATTTGAGAAGAAGCTGAGTACTTAGTACCTAACTTCAAGGTGGGGACAGTAATATTCTTCAGTTTAGTGATAAAATCATTAATAAAATTTAATTTTGGCAGAGAGAAATGGAAGATGAAATTGTGGACATGTTTCCTAATGTGATGTTTTTGGAATATTTTTATTCCCTTGGAATTACTTTCCCAGTCTTGAAGACCATGACGGTTTAGGGAACGTGTGAATGCTGAACTGAAAGTGGAGATCTTCGCTGCTACCAATGAGGAGCAGTTCATTGATATATCTTCTGACACCTCTGAAAATGAAATTTCCCAAACTTAGTAAGCTAAGTACAAATAATTAAATGAGAGCGCTATGCAAATACTGATTTCATTCACAAAATCCTACTTGTATTGATCTGGGTTTTCAACAGTTGTTAAGTACTAAGCAAGCTCGTCATTTACGTTTAAAATTGTTTGACTGAAATAAATTTTTTAACTTTTCTTTTTTTCTTTTCTTTCTTTATTTATGAAACAGTTTTAAATTTTGTAAATGTGCATCATTGTTTTTTTAACAAATATTTAATTTTAATGATATAAACAGGTAACTGTGCTTTATTTATTATGTACCTAATCCTAATGAAATCAGTAGCTTTTGTCACAGGCAATGATATGTAAATTTACGTATTATATTAAGGAGTCACAGTATTACAAGTTTGAGATCCCGTGATGTACAGGATTGAAAAGTATTTTTGTACTTAAATATAAATACCAGAAGTGTCCATTGTAAATGTCACTGTATTTAAAGTAATATAAACAAAATGTAATCATTAAAATCTGCAACATGCATATGAAATAAATTATGAATAATGTATGCTCCATTATTCACACATCCAAATCTTCATCAGTAGCATGTTTTATTAGTAAGAAATAATTGTGAATCCTCTATTTAATTATGAACAGTGTCACTTTTGGGGCACTAAAGAAAAAGACATCAATAGGATCAAAGCTTCTGAGGTGGAATGTTAATGCAAAGTGAAGTAATCCTGGTATTTTAGTTCAGCATTGTGTTGTGTTAGGAAATATGCAATAATATTACTCAGCCTGACGTAGTGCAAAGTAATTTTACGTGTACCTAGTAACAGGAAGAAATCAACAAGAAATTGTTTGGAGGGGTAGGGGTAAGAGACCTTCTCAGAATTGGTATGTGGGAATGCTGGACGGACACCAGATGAGTGGAATACTGCACAAGTCAAACATCTATAAGAAAGACAATAGAAATGTATGTAGCAATTATACAGATGGATCCTTTTTTGAAAATGACGTAAATTATAGTGTCATGCGACAGTATGCCCATAGCTTAACTACGTGCTCTTGGGATCATTTTGGGCCGAAAAGTTCAAATAAACGTGGGTCCAATCTGCAACAGTTTGTCGAGAAAATTCTCCGCATTCACTATGCACTGAAAAAAGAAACATAGCCTTATCAGATAATCGTTCAGTCGCTATATCTGGCATCCTTTCAGTTTTTGAATTAATCTACACAACGTTTGTTGGAAATATTTTTTGTTCCAGTGAGTGGCAATGAGTTGCGCTCGAGATGTGTGCAGAAACAAATGCAGTTCTTCATGCAGAATGACTGTCATTGTTGTCCTATTGAAGCCAAAATTGGAATATTTCATAGATTTTAGTACAATTCTTGAAGAAAAAATTGAATGTTCTAAAGTTGTTACATGCAGACAAACAGATGTGCTGAAACTAATGGGCGCATTTTTACTACTTCATTGAGTTTGCACCTTAGAAGTATACAATTATTTTACAGATCGTCACATTGAAAAATGTTTATTTCATGTTTACAGATTCAAACATTTATAGAAATATAATTGAACCATTTATGTTTATGTTAAGAGCATGTTTTTACATCTAATACCAATAATAGCATATATTTAATAGCATTCCCGATATTGTAACAGTGATACAGTGCTTAAATATATTTTGAATTCTCATTATCTAGCCAATTCTGAAAAGTGGGGCTGGACCGTTTGATTCGTCTGATACAAATGTTGTTTGTCCTGACTGTTCTGTCCTTAATGTATCCTGCTAAACAGATACACATGTTTGGACTTGTACAGATTGCGTTCACACATTTATTTTCACATTTTGGTATACATCTACTGCCCTTAATATCTGCAAGATCTTTCTCATATCCTGATTTGCAGGTGCACGTGTTTGGTAACGTGCAATCGCCATTTATACAGCCGTCTGTGCAAATAGGTGCACATACGTTGCTAGAGTTGGCTACTTTGGCATAACCTTGAAGACAGGTACATGTATTTGCTGCTGTACAGGTGGCATTTATGCACCCTCCAGGACAGTGTGGGATGCATCTGTTACCTTCAAGTATTTGAGGATCTTTGGCATACCCAAGGTGACAGGTACAGATGTTGGGGCCTGTGCAGTCGCCATTAGAACAACCCCCAGTGCACGTAGGAACACACGTGTTTCCGGTTTTGTTGTTGGGGTCTCTGGTGTAGCCAGAATGACAGGTACAGACATTGGGAGCCGTGCACTCCCCATTAAGGCATCCATTCTTACAAACAGGAAGACATGTTTTATTACTACCGCCAGGGGTCATGCGGTATCCCACGTGGCATGTGCAAGTGTTGGGCGATGTACAGTCGGCGTTGATGCAAGGTGTTTTGCAAGTCGGTGAACATTTCTTAGTTGCATTGTTCTTGACGTAACCTGAAGAACAAGGATGTGTTAGAAATAAGAAGTCAATTAATTTTAACCATAACATTCATGTGTTGTACAATGCTGCGAAGTGAAACGAATGCTTTCTCTCAGAATACAAGATTCTGGTCATAAGAGTGACATCGTCAGACTTGATATTGGAATGTTCCTTTCTTCAGATTCAGTGCTCAGAATTCTAATACAACGTTGTTACTGGAGGATAATTGTCTATAAATAGATATAGTTTCTTTTCCCTTTTATAACAGAAAAAAATTCGTATTTTGAATGTTGTATTTGATTTAAAAAACATGTTCCTTTTTAGATTTCTTTGTCTTAATCCTCGTGTCGTGTAAACGAAGTATGCGAGTGAATATTAATGAACGTTCGTTGGGACGTGGAGTATTTTGTCAAAATTTGTGGTTTAGAACACTTTCAGGAAATAATCACTGCTTGTGCATAGTTAGGCTGACATCGGATGCTGTGCCTGTTTGCCGAGCGACAAACGGCTTCTATATTGAGCTCTATTAAAAACTATTTGTAAACTGGGGCGTTTCTTTCAAGTTCATAACAAGGGGATCACATTGCATTCATTCGTTTTCGAGATCTCTGTGTGATATTTATTTTTAAAACGAGTACATTTAGTCGGATACATTAAAGTTATTACAATGAAGAAATGCGTTACCATTCCATAAAAGATAAAATCCTCCAACTAAGTATCAAGGTGGTGTTGTATTATAAAATTGCACCGGGATAGACATGCTATGTCACAATGAAAATATTCGTATTTCAATTTCGCATATCGATTATACGAGTGTTAACAGTTATCGATAAGCAAGCTCCGAAACGATTATTACTTTCTGATTCATACAGGATTTGAAACAGATGAGGTAACAAATTTACACGTGTGGTTAATGAATTATATTAAGTGAGTGGTATGCGAGTTATTTAATTAATATAATGCCTTAAAGAAATCACATATAAAATTAAAAGACTGAAATTAAGAGTTGTAGTAATGAGAATGTTGATTATTTTCAATCGTACTGTTTTGCTTCGAGACAAGATGGATGATACTGGTTGAAGTGATTATTTGTGTGGCTAATAGTTGATATAAATTCGAGGTCAGCTGAATGAAGCTGTTTTCGTGACTAATAAAATCTCTCAGCAGTCAGCACCTTCAAGTAAGCTTTCAGTTCTGAAACAAACTCCCCTAGAAAATCGAGACTTTGTTATATTCAGTAATAAGTTCATCGAAGACTAACCTGTGTGACAAGTGCAGACGTTCGGCGCTGTGCAGTCGCCATGGAGACAACCCTGCGGGCAGCGAGGTACGCATATGTTGTAGTGTGGGTTCTTTTTCCTGTAACCCTGGTGACAGGTGCATTTGTTGGGAGCTATACAGTCCCCGTTCAGACAGCCGCCAGAACAAGCTGGAATACAACTGTAATGCAGATGGTCGGATCAGTGGTTTTTCTTCCTTTACCAGAGAGAAATATATTGATTGATTGTTTTTTGAAAATTCACATACATATACACATTACACGTGCAAGGCTATGTATGTATTTATGCACGATACACGTAGAAAAAATTAAACCATACACGTATGATTTAAATGCAATCTTTACATTTTACAGAATAATATAATGTTTGAAGCGAGGTATTGACTGATTCTCTGATTGATCAAACACTCAAACATTATTTTTGTTATGATGACATAAATGAAACCGTTTCTTGCCCCGAAAACTAACAAGATGGTGTCGAAATTAGTGCAAAACTGTTATGCAACACACGCCTATATCAGATATTGTAGTAGAATCGCTTTCTGGAACAACGAAGAACATTTATGAAACTGTAAAACTGTCGCTCACTGTACCTGCCATAGAGGTCCTCGATGTAACCGGGGTTGCATGTACAAATGTTGGGCTCCGTGCAGTTACCGTTGACGCAGCCGCTCTGACACACCGGAACGCAAATCTTCCCAACTCGCGAGAAGCCAGCGTTGCACGTACAAGAATTATTTGCTGTAAAACAGTAGCGTCTCAGACGATTACGTATTTATAAAAAATTACCTGGGCCAAACAATGACACTACCCTTTTGGTCACTCCTGATAAAATCATCGAAAGTTTTTGTTTTACTCATAGAGCGCACCACTGATCTGTTCGGGCGTGCAAACAGATGACGACTGCATTTGCAGTTGGGATCATTGACAGTGGTTTTACTCATAGAGCGCACCACTGATCAGTTCGGGCGTGCAAACAGATGACGACAGCATTTGCAGTTGGGATCATTGACAGTATGGGTCGAGAGTTGTTAAGTGTAAAGGTTTGATTGAATGCGTGCTACCGTAACTTCTAATGTTCCGGTAAGTAAATTTTGAGTAATACTTAACATAACGTAAGTGTGTGTACTTCTGAGTGATGTAGCTCCGTTTTACTGGTTCTTGTCTGAAAGGTTTTGGTCAACAAAAATTCAAATAAGTGCAGAGCACCGACCAGTGGCAAAGGATGTGGACTTTTAGCAGTCTTGCTGAATATATTCTTACCACGGAAACGTTTGTAATGAGTGGAGATAAACAGCATGGCATGTGAAACCTTCGTAAAGTGACTTGGACATTTCTCGATGTGGGCCACAAGCCTCCAGGGCGCGTACTTATGATTTTTGATGGGGTAGCGTCGTATCTTGATGCCAGTATCATCTCTGCTACTGAAGGATATGCCATCGTATGGATCACAACCGATGAGTAAGATTGTTTTCAGATCGTTCACAAATCACTATGATGATAAATTGTAGTTAACGGCAACTAGCTAAATAAACGCAGATTTGGCACCTATTCTCCAGTATTTTGGGAAAGTTAGATACTCCGGAAAAACTTAACAGCTTTTCCAGCGACTAAAATATAATCCTTTGGTCCGAATGTGATACCTGGCGAGGCATTAGCTCCCGCAGTATCAACAGCGATCACAAGAAATCTAAGGCAGATTTAAACGAAAAATATCTGTTTCAGGGAAAATATCTTGTAGTTCAATGAAGAATTCCAGAATTTATGAAGGTTCAGATTCTACCGATAAAAGCATGAATTTTCACGACGTGATAGATGAAGCGTTTGATTCGGACTCTCTAGAACTTTCTACTACAGTTCACAGATCAGGAGAAAATCCCTACTAGGAATTCGATATACGCGCATGCGCGACATTTCGCGGTGAGTGACGACCCATCCTAAAAGCATTCGTTCCACAACCACTGAACGAACAACAGACGACAGGCTTTCATGTGTTCTAATGGGTACAGCTTTAAGATTACCTCACAGTGGCACAGCGATTTAATCTAGAATATTATCGCAACACCCACAGAACACATTAGAAGTGCACTCACTACACGCTACTCTTAACTGCTTGATGTTTTCAGTCTGTGTGTAGTAGCGTAAAACTCTGACGTATTACACTTCCCACCAATAGCAGCCCTCTAGTCCACCAGACAGTAAACATTCCCCCCGCACCGAACCAGAAACGACTTCCCCCAGCAGGGTTTTTCTCGTCATCTGTGGACAGTACATCCTTTTATCAACGACAGAGATCACTAAATGTTCGCAGAAAAGGGAAAGAACGCAAGGACACGTGTACAGAGCGCTGAAAATAGTGCGTGCAATCTCTTTTTCCAGGAAAGTCAGAAAATCCTAAGAAATAGGTAGAAGGAACATACGTATGGGAAAGACAACTCACAAAACCTCAGAATGCAAAACAACTGCGATCCTAGGAAAACTGCGAAGTCTGATAAAAGCAATCCAAAGGCCGAGAATGATTTTGCCCCGTGCCAACCCAATAAATCAACTATCTGACCTGACGACGTGTTACTTGAATGAACAACAGAGAATCTGGTGGTCTAGTTCACTGTGCTGGTAAGTACCTGCACAGACCCCGTTGAGACATCCGCAGGGACACTCCAGCACGCAGTTTCCGCTTCTGTCGAGCGTGTAACCGCCATGACAAGTGCAGTTGTTGGGAGCTGTACACACACCGTTGGCGCATGCGCTGTCACACTGAGCAACACACCTGCCGAACACGTCCTTCAGATAGCCTCGGCAGCAGAACGTCTCTGTTCGGAACTCTGTCTGTGAAACGAACGGCAATGTTAACATTTTTCTTTGGCGGGTTATGAGAGTGTCATCTGAATTTGCCACTGTCCAGTTGCAGACTTGTATTGTGACATATTTCACAGATAATTCGCAATTGCATGTTTTTATATCAAGAGTAAAAATTGCATTTGTAAATTTCTGTTTTGTATGTTACAAAAAGTGGGATGAAACATGGCGGTGGTTATGTGATGGTGGTAATTACAGAAATTCTGAGGTTTCTTTGTACTAAATTTTACGTCACAATTGGTAGTTTAGGAGTAATGACGAATCTCCAGTGTAAAAAGTTTGCTCGTGTAAAACAATTTAACACACAGTGAGTCTAATATGCAGTGAGTTTCAAACTAGAAATTTAGAGGACGCGATGTGATATGTTTTTGTTTTATCAACAATGCGTAAAGATAAATATGGGCTATTTTCGTGTATAATAAGAGCTTTATAACCGTTAATAGTAAAACCATACAGATTTTGTATTGAAACCAACAACATTTAAGAACGCACAGAGATTCTGTTGTTAAATTTTCAGGGCAAGATGTAACTGCTGTCTTAATCTGCTTCAACATACCGTGTTAGTTTGGTTTCCAGAAACACTCGACGCGCTCGTATTCCCACTGGTGTTTGTAATCCTGTCAAAACAGAGAAACAACACTGATACAAATACAGGTTATAAAATAAATGCAATTTAAAAAAAATATTTATTTTGTTTAAAATAAATATATTTCGATGCATAGGTTATGTTATTCGGCTTTTTAAGTTCCCGAATGCAAGGAATACATTGCCATGATATTTTAATAAATTGTGAGATTTGAGGTTTTGATGACGATGATTATGTTGTTTTGGGTTTTGGAATTCGGTCTTGAGCCGTAAGAAAGACGTATTCTGGTACGGAATTCACTTTCCGAACTTGTTAATAAATTGTCCACGGCGCCCGGCAGGTCATTAACAAAGGATGAGGATTAGTGCAAACTGTGTGTATTAAAAGACTGAGAATCCCAGAAGCAGTTGAAAGAGTACAGATAATTTAGACAGTTGTTGCAGTAAGTGTAAGTAAGCTGGTCACATGGCACGAACCAAATTAGTCAACCAAACTTGGAAATCTCTTCTCCATTTCGATTCGTGAGGAAGTTAGACGTTAATTATATAAACCTGGTTGTTCTACGTAAATGTTCTTTGTCGATACTTTTATTTAGACATTGCCTGCTTTATTTAAGTCGTATTTTTATGGCGTTGTTACAATTCGGCCTAATTGAAAGACGTCTGGTGCGCGGCTTCCTTGCTGTTGAAACATTTACCCATCCCGAGCCCCTCAGTGGCCATTCTTACATGTTCGCAATACGTGCCTTTGCTTTGTTTTTAGATTGCACAGACTCAGAACAGTTATAAGAAGGCAAGACAGTCAACAATCCGTGTTTCACTATGCCATATTTTGGTCTAACTAAGGGCCGGATCGCTAAAACTGAAATTCGTGTAGACATCGTGTATTGTGACCGTGTATTACGTGTTATTGCGCTACAGTTGCCCCATCTGACGCGCAGTTGGGTGACTAACTATAGCGTATTAGTAGACGCGTACTTGCTTAGGCATTCCCGATCTATAGCGAACTAACACGAACACTCACGAATAAATAAAATCTGTACTTAAAATGTGCGACAGTCACTTGTTACTACAATTTAGTCATTTCTCTTTGATGTTGTGCGCCACGAACATCGTTGTTCTGCAGATAAACATGAAATACTAGCATCAAACGGTAGTCAACTAGGTGTTTAGTGAAACTAGAATACAACGACCTAGGTTTCTAAGCGATTTAACTGTGTGTAGCCTTTTGAAATGTACGCAGATGTCAAATTCGTGTGTTCGTCTCTTATTGCAATGATTATTTCGAAATATTGGCAAGGTCACGTGAGGCTGTTCGTTAAAGAAGACCTGAACATTGGCTTCATGGCTGGATCTTGCATCATGACAACGCTCCAGCTTATGAAGCTTGTCGTGGTTTACTCGGTCTTTACTTACGGAATCTGTTCTGTGCCGCATACACCTGTCTGGTTCTGCGGTGATTGCGAATGGTTTAGGGCGACAATCACCCTGGACATCACGTTCACCATGCTCAGGTTGTGGCCAACACCCACTGCCTAGAAATAGCCATCAAATTACTTTTGGTTGAAACTATAAATAACAACCAATGGATCTGGCTCCAGGCGTATCGTCTGGAAAACTTATTAACGCGAAAATGTACCGCTAGATGGAGCATTGCGCGTGGCGATTGTCTGTTGTCCCTTATTCAACCGCATATGCTAGTTACACAGCGCTGAATAACAAGATGATGTGAACGATTGATTGGAGAAGATGTGGTATTTTGTGGTCCTGGTCTACTTTAAGGTAATATCCCTGAATTTACGTGGAAGAACGGAAGGTAACTACGAGAAACCTCCGTCGTAACAGCCGGTTTCCGGGCTGAGATTCGAAAGCTGTTGCTTTTGAATAAAAAAACAGGATTACCAACTTACATAGAATGAAAATATATTAACTGTCATTTGACGCCGAAACTCATATATTTCGGGATTCTGAAGTGTTTTAATGAGTAGAAATATATAATTTCACTAGGTAAAACTCCATGAAGGAAAGTCATCCCTTGACAGTTGTCATTTATGACACCGGAAGATTGTATTCACAAAAGACGTCAACAAACCTTGTCCTGAACCAGATAATTCAGTCCGTCGCTACACCTTTTTTAAGAATCACTACAAAACAGTCTCGTTATATTTATGTCTCGTAAGTTGACAAACATTGTTCTGCCGAGGGCTACATTTCAAGTGGATCACTGTGTTACTGATGTTACCTGAGGGTCCGACCTCGGGGGAGGACAGACAACGCTGTGCTGCAGTCCACTGCTGATGATTCTGGCAGATGTAACGTTACTAACTGCAGATGTAACGTTATTAGTTACACCGTTTCTATTGGTGATTTTGCTCACGAAGCGGTTTAGCCCATTGACGATGTTGGAACCGAACCCTGCAGAGGCGACAGTGTCATTATTACCCGGCTGATTGACAGCAGCCTGCGATGTCAGGAGAACAGCGAGGAACGCGATCACTTGGGACGACGTCATCTCAGATGCTGACTCTGTGAAACACTGAGTTCTTCCGGGGTTGTCTTTGAGGATAATTATTTTATCTTATTTGAATGCTGAGTATTAAAAGGACGTACGTACGAGGTGCGATCGGAAGGTTTACAGACTGCGCGTATAAAAACCCGTACACTTATCTCAGGTATTAAATTCATCCATCACCCTCGAAGTAGTTCCCCTGGGAGTGAACACAACGATCCCAGCGCCGCTGCCAAGCCTGGAAGCATCCCTGGAAATCTTTCTTTGTCAACCTGTCAAGCACCATCTCGTATTGTAATATCGTGCATTACGCTAGGCATAAAACGCATAATGATGAGAGGTACTGTCTGGTACTAGAAATAAAATATAAATTTTATTAAGGTTTATAAATTTCAATTGAAACGTTTCTCGGTTTGATATTTAATAAATACAAGTAAGAGATTTTTTTTTTCCTAGCTCTTTACCGTGTTGGATTAGTTTTATAACAAAGATTCGTGTCTGGAACAAATGAAAATAAAGCCAATGTGGTTTGTAATAGACGCATTTGGAGAACATGGAACTCCATTGAAGAACATCTTTGTGGTTCTACTCGCGTTAGAAATGTATGTGGTATAATGTATCGGCGCTATAATTTACGTGGATCAAAATCCTGTGGTACATATGCCGCTCTTATACTAGCCGCTGTACTTTTCCCACCCGGATGTAACTGTAATGACACCCACTGCTCTGTGATTATATTATCCAGCATAGAGCGGACGTGGAAACACTCACAGTCTTCGTGCAAAACACTTTTGCTGATTATCTTATTCCTGCAGCGTAAGATCCAATTATTTTATCTGCTATGAAGGTTTGAGTGACAAAAGAATTGCGTTCTAAAGTCGGAGGTGTTGGGGGGAGGAGGGCTACTGCAGTTTTTTCAAAAAAAAGGGACGTAAAATTACGCCTCAAGGATGGGCCTAGGATGCGACACGGAGCAGAACTCTACCCCTTACCCCTCTTGTATGTGAAATCTTAACCTTTCACTGTTTTAATAGAGAAATTTATTAAATTAAACGAAATGTAATTCACGAATTCTTGCGTGTCAAGTAATGGTAATTATGATGATCTTCTGGGTTTTGCTGACCCGTGAACCTGTCCGCACGGCGTCAAAATTCAGAACAACAGAATTACCGTCACCTTTAAAATTATAATACAAAGTAAACATTGATCTCAGTAAGAGTCAGAACTAATGGGAACGAGGTGCGATCGGAAAGTTTAAAGACTGCGCCTATAAAAACTCGTACACTTATCTCAGGTATTAAATTCATCCATCACCCTCGAAGTAGTTCCCCTGGGAGTGAACACAACGATCCCAGCGCCGCTGCCAAGCCTGGAAGCATCCCTGGAAATCTTTCTTTGTCAGCCTGTCAAGCACCATCTGCGATTCTGCCTGAATCTCTTCTATCGTCTCAAATCTCGCCCTCTATTGACACAGTCTGGAAACTTTCCGATCGCACCTCGTACTGTTGAATGACAACGAACAAACAGTGTTTAAGACTTGTGTAACAACGACGACAGCGAACGGCCTAGCGGATTCCAGTTTGAAGATTTCCTGCCGAGAGCCACATGTCGGTAGCCAAGATGTTTCGACGGAAGGTACCCGTCAGAACCATTAATCTGAGCGGCCAAGACCAGGTGCTACCTGGAGGCATCGCCCTGAGCATCTATGAACCAGGAAATTGGGTGGCGCCGATAAGAGATCTGGAGCCGAACTCTAAAAATCAAGGGTTCTGTGAACAGATTACCCGATCCGTCAGCCACCTGCAGACTGCCGTTAGCCAAACAGTCTGAGGCGAAAGAACAAGGAAGAATGTAGAGAGAATATGGCGTTGATAATTATGCTTCCAGTCTCACGTGTTGAAATCTTTTACCCAGGACGATTATTATCAGTAAAATGTCCACTACGTCGTAGAAGGTGAGGTCGCAACGACTGGCGAAAACTCTCATGTAAACGTCGTTACTTTGTTTTGCTAATTGATAATGTGAATCGTCCTAGAATAATACAAAAGAAGATGCAATACTCGACATTACAAACACAATACACTAGACAACAAATTTGAATGAGTTGTATATATCGGAAATGAAACTGTTCAATTCTTATGTATTTTCGTCCGCTAAATTCGAAAATGACAATAAGAAAGCTTAGTTAGTTCGCATTTTGAAGATATTTTGTACTTTGTAAAATATCACCAATAAATTCGTCCATATGATATGCAAATGTTTAAAAATTTTCACCTACCTTATATACGTTGTCTTTTGGCCTTTATTTTGTATTTTACCTCAGGGGCATCTCTTACCACCGATCATTGATTCGCTCCATTTCCCCTGATAACGCCTTTCAAGAGTAGAAATATCTTGGTGA